CAACACATTCAGTTGAAGAGCGTCATAAACGAGAGATTCGCTTGAGTCTCTTGCGAAAACCAAATTGATTTGCAAATGAGTGCTGTTCTCAGTCTTTTCATTTTCGTTATGTGATTTGTTTCGGACCCTTGCTTCCCATCATTTGTGGAGGGCATCTCCTCCATTCTCTATCATACGCTGTCTCCTGTTTTTTTTTCCGCTTGCCAGTTTGGTGCGATACAGTTGGAGAAAGAAATGCGTTGCCTATTCGCCTACCTAACCAGCATTACGTACACTGCATTACGGGACCACTTCACGCGGCTGCTACAAATATGTAACTTGCTCAACTTGGATAAGGTGAGTGATTTTTTTAATGGAGGGTTCTCATCCCTGAGAGAAATCTAAATTTATCGAAACTATTCAAACGGATGGACTTATTATGGCCCGCTCTACGAAGATAGTATCACTCAAATGAACATCAAGCGATTTCTTGGTGTTTTTTGGTCGAGGGGGACAACCCTAACGGTCTTCTGTTCGTTAGTTGAATCTCATTGCACCTAACGAAAAACATCTTTTCCTCGTCCACAATCGTAGGTCATCTAACTATCAGTAGATTTTTCTGTACATGAGGCTCAGTGGTATTTGTGCGTTATTATGCTCTGTTGTCTTCTATAGCGTTTTACACATTCGAAGCTACTTCAAGTCCTTGCATGATGGGAAAATTTGTGATGTTCACCACGCAGTGTTGTACTGCTTCTGTTTTGTTATGCTAACAAAGGCTTCAATGTGGGTTCGTAGATATTCTTTCACTGTCTCTCTGTAGATTAAGGACCTGATTCATCAACTGATCGCCTGAATATCCGTGAAACGAACGCCCCACCCTATTTAGACTGTGTAGGCCAAAGTACGGATCAGATGGTATCATTACAGATTTTATATTCAATTTCAACTTCTTTTCACTTTATTTATTTCAACTCAGGTTGACGAGGTGACATTCTACTGGAATAGCCCGAATTGGCGCTTGCTTCCGAATGAAGTCCGTCGAATCCTGTCACTTCGGTGAGCTGTCCTTCAGTTCGTTGTGATATCTTTAGGGGTAGCAAGTTCAACGCACACCAGACTGAGCTGATTATCACGGTTAGATTAAGGTATTCCAAAGTGATTGTGTACCACTGGGTGTGAACTCAGCATTTTATTTGGCAGACAAATCTGTCTGGTCCTTGTTTATTTCAATCTTTAACTCAGTCGTGTTCGAGAGGTGATCGTGTGGGCAATGAGTGACATATACAGCGATATGGTCGTGTCAAAACGGGAGTTGTGATAAGTGGCGTCGTTAGATGCCAGTAGTACTGTCACGATGTTTTAGTGCTTGCCCGTTTTTCAACCAGACACTGTGTGAAGATGTGTGGTCTTAAGTGCTTTTGGATCAGAAACCACTTCATGCATGTCACTCCTTTGAATAAGCTGTTTCGTACTTCGGTTCGAATGATGTGGCGAACGCCTATCAAGAGACAAAGCAACCTCGGTAACTGCTGCTTTCCCATAATGCACTACATCTTCGTGTTTCATCACATTTCACAACTGTAATCGGCTATAGATAATTCAGAACGAGAATTTGTTAGGTTCCGAGCGAACAAGGTCAACGCAATGATGATGGGCTTTCCAGTCCTAAAATTGGTGCACTATTTCGATTATCCCCAATCCAGCCCTGTTTTTGTCTTCAAGGTGGTCACCGTATCCGCGGGAATACACCAATGCATCTGAAAAAAACACTGGGACACACAGTCGGTGCGGCGTTGTAAAAAGGTCTCACCCAGAGGGGAGAGTTGATAGCTCAGATTGAGGTCGGTGGTTGATTTGTTCGCTGAGCTTGGCAGGTTTTATGCATTTGTTTCGTAACCCGTCTAGTTGATATCCTCAGTGTGTGGCAGTGTCCCTGTGTAGGCCAACATACCGGTAGGTCACGAACCGTTTGTAGCTAATTTAACAACCTAATCAAAAATCATATGTTCCACAAAACAGGTCACTGAAGATTCATATTTCCATGAAGAACGGGGTAGGAGATATGCACGCTCTATGGAAAATTTTACTGGAGATTATGCACGAATATTCGTCACAACTAGAAATATTGAAACGCCGTCACAGTTTTCGGAGTGGAATTGTTGCTTTCTAAGGAAGACGAATGTTACGCGTACATCGAAATGATTTTCTGCCACTTTACTTCTGTGAATACTTTCTCACCACACATTCTCACCAGGCGCTCGCATCAGCGTAAAGTCCAGTTTTCGACGCCTCGGGAAACTTTTGTTTCCCCAAGTTATGGGGCATTGTCCTGCTCATTTAGTCCGCTAGGTGCTAAACTCGAATTCAGTGATTCCCTTGTTGACGCGTGGGTTGTACGGCTGAGATACTGCAGTTGTGACAATTTCTTTAGGCTGATGCATTTGTGACTGACGTGCAATTTGTTGAGGCCTAGTAACGTTGTGTGCCAGGAGGCTGTTTCAGACAGTTGGGCGTCCACATGTCCTGCTTCCCTTGAACCGTGATACGAATACTTAAGTACTGTGAAGTTCCTAAGAAGTTTAATCCAACCACAGTGATATTGGGTATTAGGTTCAACGTTTGGACAATGAAGCAGTAAAGCATCAGTGTTGAACACTGATGTCATGATGTCGATGATGATGATTGGACAATGATAGTCAACCTTTCTCTGAAACTAGAGAAGGCGTCCCATGCTAGCCTAAATTCTGAGAACTTTGACAACTATTTCTACTTCTCCACATAATACTGCACATGGCATCCAGCTTTATATGTAGCATTGCATTGGTTTCGCTGTTAGATTCCAGTAGATAATGCATGCACCCATAGGCGGCTTTACAGTGGACACTTAAGCTGAACTAATGCACTTCACATATCGTGAGTTTCATCTCTTCGCTCAATATTAATGAGTTGGTATTTACCTGTTAACAAACGAACGAGCCGTTGGTGAGTTGCCTCCCATAACTAGTCCCAATGACAACCGACATCTTTGTGTAAATACATGAGTCGGTTGTTTAAACTCACATCATTGCTAGCATTAACGGGAGAAGGTATCGGGCCACCATATATGCAGTGGTTTCCGGAAGGAATGGTCAATTATTGTGGGCGCGGTGACAAATAAGCTGAATGCACCTTGCATGAAAACACGTATTTAGCTAACATTTGCTGCGCGCACCGTTGTTATGTATTCCTCAGGCTTAAAATCGCGCCACAGAGACACACTGAATTCAATTGTCGATCTGACCTAAGTCCTCGTAGTCACATGGGACACTGAAAAAATCCCCACTGACGCGAGTTTTTTCTGCTGAATTCTATGCATCTGGTATTTTTTTTAGCCATGTGAACTGCTGTCTAATCTGTGCTACTAAAGCGCGAATAAGGGTGTTCATCTGCATCACGGTCTATCCATTTATTGCAATTCCGTAGAAGTGTTTCAAGAACCTAACAACAAGAAAGAGGAAACCAGTGTGACGTGGCATATCCATTAGCAAACCTACGGATAAGGAACGGAAACTGTTTTAAATCTAAGTTTTTGCAAGTTTGGACTAGATAGATAGATATTTCACACTGTTGGTTCGGGGATCCGTGTAGTATCTACCAAAAGGGTCGTCGTAACGCTGATGAAGGTGAGGAAGCTGGGGGAAGCGACCGCAATCTTTGTCGACGTTTTCTGCATTTTCTATCCTAGCCTACTCTTATCCCATGAGCTCCAAGACGCCATACATTGGTGGCATTACGTATGCATCGTGGGTCTGACAGGCCCAGATAGGACATTGTTAATGTCAGAACTCCAGGAACAACTTCGACTCCGCAACACAGCTGCCTCACGTTCCTCACAATTCGCAGAACCCTTTGAGTCACTGGATGACAGTTAGTATCTTCAGAACCATAGAGACTTATCTGCCAACTGATTTCTAGTTTGGTCTCCATTCATTTCCGATGTGGTTGATGGTTTTTTTCAGTATTTTAAACAGCTCACCTCTCTTGGAGCTTTCTTCACGAGAAATGCTGCATAGAGCTAATTGGTGTCTCCTCGACTTAAAATGTTAGTTTTCATTGTCATTGTTTTTGTTTATACTTCGGGTTGAAAACAACTGAGATATATGTTGTTTGTGATGGATGCTCCCCCTCCAAACGTTCAGTATGTGCTGTGAACACACACGACTAATCCATTTCGAGGTACTTCACTCGAATGTTTGCTTTCACTCTACTGCGGGTAGTAGCTGGGTTACATGATCGGTAGCTCCGACGCAGTAGGTCAGTATCGACTTGAAATTACTGGGTTTCTAGACGTTCTCCTAGTGCGATCTAGTACTGTCAAGCGGTTCGAACAAACCCCAGCAGTCAACAGGAAACTGTTTATTCACTGCTATTAATTTATAGTTTACATCATGAGTGTACAACCCAACAGAGCTCTTTGAGAGCTAACATGCCCTCTGTTCTAGTTCTGTTTACCCGATGGCCTTCTGACAGTGAAATCTCTCTGCATCAACTCATGACAGTACTGTCACCGCAGAGGTGCCGCTGTAGATTGTTATAAAACGGCGGTTTGTCGTGAATGGCACCTGAGGTCACGTTTACGGTTATATTTTATCTTGCAAGACAAACCCTGCAACTAGCCAGGTAGACAGGATTTCGCGTGGCTGTTACTACCAGGAGGGTGGAAACGCTTTTCGTATGGGTACACAGTAGACCATTTCTAGTCAGGCTTCGCGCTGGACGCTATGCTGCAGAGGGGTTCCGTCCGACGTAAATCTATTTCGTCAAATTGCATGTTTTTTCGGAGTTAGACACCTTTTGTCTCCATTTCCACAGAACCGATTTCTCCACGGACGAGATTCGTCGTCTCAAAATGTGAAACCCCGAATTTATGAAATTACTCGTTCAAGGCGCTGTTTCATCACTCAATTCGTTTTGGATAACGCATTGTTCTTCCCTATGGCTGTGTTTGTTTTTACTGCAAAATACTTATCTACTAAATAAATATTTCTGTTTTTGCTTGGATCATTGTGAGCACTATATTCGACCCTTTCAGTGGTATTTTTCAGCAAGTTTCTTAACGAAGCTTGATGAAATTTCAAAGTGCCTCGACAAAACTGAACATGGCCCAGTGTTAAGCATTTTCCGAACTGTCAAGCGTTGCACATCCCGTAAAGCATCTAGTCACCTCTAGATTTTTGCGGACACTGTCAAGCTACCTTGACATTTCAACCGGGTGCTGTCGGAACGTCCGAAAATGAAAGCTTTTTTGTTGCGATGCGATCGATCGGTTTGGCATCGGCGACCAGCTTGGATAATCTGGTCGTGGTAACATTGATACAAATTGAATTTCATCTGCTGGGGTACCTACTTGGAAAACAGGAAAAGTGAGAGAAATAACGGCTTGGCTAACATTGTCTGCGCCTGTGCTACGTGACTTGTTAATAGAATCAATGTAAGCCCAATGACCCCTTGGCTACGAACCGTAGCCTGGAAATAACCGATCTGGTGACCTGCTGTGTGACCACGCTATGTTCTAGAATGAAATGTGGAGCTCCCTTCGTTTATTTTATCAATAGGATGCATAGCGCCACACAACTAGACGATCGGTTGAATCGGAAGTCGTCGGTTTTCACTGTATGAAGTCTTCAGTACAAGCACTTTGGTCCGCTACTTGTCAGACTTAGTACGGAGCAAGTGAGAAGCTAACCAAACGATCCGAAGCTTCTCGCTCAAGTTTTCCGCACCCGTTCAAGCTAGGACGTCGGATCCGTCGCTAGTTTTTATCTATGATCCCTGAAACTCACTCCTGTGATAACCGTGCTAAGGCCATTTGGTCGTAGCTCAGCTTATTCACGACCCCTTGCTGCATTCGGCTACCGGCATATTGTAACAAATATCCTAACATGTCCGCCTGCGATAGTGATTTGAAATAGATATGAGCGAAGGGGGTTTTTATCAGAGAAATACTCGGTGAAACGTTAGTCTGGAACGGCACACTTCTAATACGCACGACTTTTGAACTCATCACTTGCTGCATTGTGGCGTAACACATGAGATCAATGCACAAATCTAGAAGGCTCAGGTCACGTTTTCTAATCTGAGGCATTAATGACGCCAAAGAGGGACGTATCAGTCCACAATGAAGGATGCTTCGTTGTATGGCTGTGAGACTGTTTGGGTAGCGGGACTACTACTCGCTTTCCAGGATAGGAACCGCGTCATCCCCTTTGCGCCTGATCGGTGACACTGCAAGATATGACTGCCAATCGTTGTCAGTTCCTATCCAGATTGTCTGAATGAATGAATGTCTGGAGGTGTAGGAACGTAGGCATGATTGTAGCAAGCTAGCACCAAGTCCCTACCCCGTCCACCTTTGTCCTTTTCTTCACAATAACGCTTTCCATTAAATCACGGTTGTACGGCAGTGAAGCATTGGTGTTGAACACTTGTGTCGTGCTGTCCCTTATGATGATCAAGTCCATTCATTCCTGGGGACCGAAAAACTGGAAAGACCGCAGTGTTTGTCACAGAGCCCCCAACCATTTCTCCAATGAATTGCCTTACAAATTACCACCGAGTTTGTATTCAGCTAAACATGTACGCTGGAGTAGCTTCTTGGTAAATCAGAGAGAGTGATGAACGCCCGTCGCCTGCGTCATAAGGATGCACCTGTAAACAGTGAAAACCATCGACTTAGTTCCCATGTGGGTTCCCACGCAGTTGCCGCCCAATACACGGTACGCAACTCATAATTATAGTTGTGGGGATCGTTAGTCAAAACAAGTGAAATACGAGCCGGACCAACACATGGTAATCGCGCAGTTTCAAAAGGGAGTGTACTCCCTAGTGACAGGACAACCAACAGCTCACTGAATATCCCACTAAAGTTGCAAAGAATTACTTAGACATCCCTTAAGAGGATTTGCGCTAGTATACCGGGCTTTCGAGCGCGTTTAAGTCATTTTTGGCAAACCGCGTCTGGATTGACCCAATCGGAATCACACAATCTATGGAACAGGTACCAAGGTCCACCTACTTGTTGCTCTGGTTATCCTAGTTCATTTTCGGGTGTTGAATCTACCTGACCCAATTACACGCCCCAGGCGAACATGCTCAGCATGATCAGTTTCGTACCACTCCAATGCACCATGAGATGAACGTATATTCATACATCTCAGATTTGCGGTTATACCCCGCGACCAAATAACTGATACGCAACGTGACCGACGCTACCGCAGAGAACGCTAGGTATCAATCGTCCGAGGTGGAACTTCGGATATACCAACAGTGATTTCTGAAAAATTATTGAAGCGGCTCAGAAACACCTGTACGAAATGCAGTTCTAATCACGCTTGTTTCAGTTCAGCTCGTGGCAGTTGGCCCAAAGCAAATCTATCCATCACAATCTACCTAAAAGAAAATCATCTTAAAGATCCCAAAGAGGGCAGCCTAATGGGTTTGAAAAAGCAATTGCATCATCCGTTGTAAGTAAATCACTTATATATATACAAACAAGAGAAATAACGAAAAATACGAGTACATATCTTCGGAATGAACGATCAATGTTTCCCCCGACTGATCATATGGAGAGTTCCGGGAAGTAGGTAAACTGGGAGAAACAGTGGCGAATAGGAAGCCGATTTCGGGGTTTGGGAATAACGATCACAGTGACATGTACGGAATGAACCATACAAGAAAGGTCCAGTGCCACTTTCTAAGTCAATCTTCCGGTCTCCGGTGGACTGAAGGAAGGTCTAGGTGGAGAAGACATAAAGATGATTGATTATGCACTTAGCGGAATGAAAGACAATACATACGATTAGAAAAACAGTAATCTACCCAAGCGGAGGCATCATGCAGAAATGGGGATACCTGCTCACTCTCAGGAATGGTCAGCAGGCAACACGAAGTTGTGTTTGACGAGGAAGGCCGCTGTACACTCTACAGCTGACCGGTATCACATACGCTAACAACTGTACATGACCAGCATTCAAACTGTAAAGTAGAAATATTCAGATCAGGTGTTTGGCTATATGTTTGTCCACGTGGCTGCAGTGCAAACGTTTTGTCACCGTGGAAATATCATCACCTAAGGTACATTCCTGCNTGTACATGACCAGCATTCAAACTGTAAAGTAGAAATATTCAGATCAGGTGTTTGGCTATATGTTTGTCCACGTGGCTGCAGTGCAAACGTTTTGTCACCGTGGAGATATCATCACCTAAGGTACATTCCTGCTGGACAGTTTCTAATACCTTCTCTGTCATTGATTAATTAATTTCTTAGTTTGTAACTTGGTTGACAGCTCTACTGACCAATAAACCACCCGATTTTGTAGCAACCACACTTCCAACGAAAGGGATGCTCGTCTGTTCTTCTGGAGCTGTTGCTTTTCAGGATCCGCTATTGAAGCATACCACTGCAAGGGAGAATGCTTTCGGCATCTAGACTGTGAAATGAAAATACTCCGAAGTTGATCGATAGCACACGAAACGAGTTGTTGGACTCAAATGGTGGACGGATCCTAAATAGGAAGTCGAAGGATATGTGTAAAGTCGTCTCTGGACCCATCAACAGGCATTCATACAAGCTTTCAGTATTTTTGGCAATGTTTAAGTCAAGAAGGTATGCACGATCTGCGCTGGTGGAGCCTAGCGTAGATACCAACCCAAGGTTCATTGCGCACAGCTTACCGCATTAATACATGTCAAATAAGCATGTTTATCCTACACTAGGAGACAGTAACGGTGCAGTAGCAACGAATGAACCGATAAAACACGATCCTACGCATCTACCAGCACAATCATACGAAATGAAAGTTTCTGCATCGGTCGTGAATCCTGGAATAGATGGGACATTTAATGTAATGAAGACTGACGGCACGGGATACTCAGTCAATGCGAGTAAAGGAACATGCATCCAAGTTATCCATACACAACTGGCGACACCTCCATACTCATAACAGCAGTAAAGTGAATAATCTGGATCAACGGAACACGAAACAAAGCAGAACAGGAAGCTGACTGCAACACAACAAAAAACTGAGTAAACGGGAGGCCCATGTATATCCATAGGTGTGTTTCCACAAATGAGTTCATCAGAAAGCAATATGGCAAGTGTCAAGCAAACGTCATGTGTGGTTAGTTAAAAAGGACCAATGCACTCAGGCAGTACAGAAAACCAGTGACAAAGAAAATAACACGCGGCATGCCACCCATTCAGAAAGTTACCTTTCGATGGAGTTTTCAGCTGAAGGTACGGATGAGTGCGGTTAGCCGATGTGGACTGGTAACGGCCACAATAACCTCACAAATCATTTGTATTCAGGAGCGAAACAAACGACGTCCGTAGTTAAGATTTTGCACAATGACTGAAACTTCAAAACAGTATTCGCCAGAAGCGCAGTCATCCAGCTGTATGCAAGTGATACTCACTCGACAGGCGTGTCTTATTGAGGCCAGTTACTGAGGTACACTATAAATCTCCCAGATCGCGTGCATTTGAACTGAGTCCCATGGAGCAATCATCATCATCATCATCGACAGCATGACATCAGTGTTCAACACCGATGCTTCACTGCCGTACAACCATGACTTATTTGAAAGCCTTATTGTAAAGAAAAGAATAAAGGTGG